GGTGGGGTGTATAGGGGTGTATAGGGGGATATAGGGGGGTATAGGGGTGGTATAGGGGGTATTGGGGGGGGTTATGAGGGTGTTGGGGCCGGTTTGTGGGTGTTGGGGGGGTGTATGGGGGTATTTGGGGTGGGTATGGGGGTGTCCGTGGGGTTACTAGGGGTTCTGGACCCATTTTTATTTTTTTCATTTTTTTTTTGCGGGGTGCCGACGACCCCCGACCGGTAGGTGCCGACCAGTCGGCGGGTCGGCAGCCGACCAGTCAGGGGTCGCCGACGGTCGGCGCGTGCAACACTGAGAGACGAGATAAAAAGGGAAAAGAAAATGAAAAAAAATAAATAACTGGGGGAATAGAAACGTCGCGAGAAGTCTAAGGGCCTCGCCACACCACTCTTGAAAACGGGGAAATTCTCAAGAGCTGTCAGACGATCTCAAGAGTGGGGTCTTCAAGAGTTTTCGGCCCCTCGCCACACAGCACTCTCGAAAAGGCGATATTGTTGGACAGAGGATGAAAAACGACAGTCATACAGCTTTGTTTTTTTCGAATGTAGTCAGGATAACGGCCTGACAACTCTTGAAAATCAAAAGTCCCTCAAGCGTTCGGGCAAGTTGCACTACTCACGCTTGGAAACGCACGAGTTGCAGGCTGGGGTTTCCGATCTTTCAAGAGCTGCTCTTGAAACGGTTTCAAGAGCCACTCTGACAGCTCTTGACTGCCCCAAGTGTCAAGAGGCTGTGTGGCGATGCAGCAACTCTTGAAAAAGAGTTTTCAAGAGTGGTGTGGCGAGGACCTAAGCTAGTGATGAATCTGATGGTTTGAGAATGACTGCCCCGGTGTAAATCCTCCGCTGGCGTATTGGTCCTTGATTTCTTTTCATTCTTGTCTCCCTTTTCATTTTCTGGGGGAATGAAAGGTTCAGTCTTCCTTTTGATTTCAAATTTAATCTGCATCCTGGATTGACCCGACTCCCCGAACCGATTGATCAGTCTGATTCTCTAATTCCTGAATTAAGCAGGTGCGGGTTTGGGCCACCTTTTTCTTAGCGGGGTACTGCGGGAACAACCCTCAAAAAGTATGGTACGCGCGACCGCTTCGGTAGGAAGCTCATCACCCCCCATGGAAGGTCATGAGCCCCCCCTTGCCATCGGACACAAGCGCCTACTAGTGTTAGTCTCAAATTACCATTTAAAGGAGGGAGGGTGTCTGTCGGTATCACGTTATGGGACCACGCTGTGTGCCAAGCTTGCTGTCTTTCCAAACTGAGTTTAAAAGACTGCAAGTGTTGAGTGTGGGGGTGCGCTGTGACGAACCACTTTCTGTAACGCGCGATTTTCTGCGCGGTTGCAATGCGGGGTCCTAAGCTGGGAAGATTGGGCCAATTACGGGAGATCGGGATCGGTGGAGAATTGCATCAGTATCCTCGTTTTGTGTCCTTTTTCGTCGCTTCGTGTCGGATGACGGGGTTCGGAGTCAGGTGTGTCTTGGGACGGCCGATTGATTGATTGGTCGGATGGTTGTCGGACGCGACATCACGCGCGCGCGCCATTAATAAATGTTGACGTCGTTTCTTTCGGTTCGATTTCGATCTTTTGGGCGCGGACATTGCGCGGGAAATTACTTCGTTCTTTTGGAATCTCCTTTCAAATCTTTTTCGAATTTTGTCGAGCCCCCGATGGCTCTTGGAATTTCAGATTTTCCTTTTGAAGCTTGTGCTTTTTGCTTTTTTGTATTAGAGAGGAATTTAGAAATTTAGTAATTAGGATTTTTCCTGCCGCCCGGCGCCTTTTTGTCTACTCGCTTTTTCGTGCGGCCGCAACGGTACTCTGATTAGTGGGCGCCCTTAATCGTGTGTGTAACTGTAATTTTGGGCGGGAACCATTATAACTGTATCTCTCTTCTTGCACTTCGTCTCTCCCGCCCTCCCTCTCTTCCTTTTGCTGAAATTTTCGTAAGACACAATTTGCATGATCGGATCGATGCGTGGAGAAGGGTCCCGTCCCCCACGCGGCGGCCGATCATGCAGAACGCAGGCGTCCTCTCTCTAATCCTCACTCTAAGTCCTAGTAATTCCGTGTTCTTTGCGCATGCATGCACGCTATAAATTTTGGCTGCGCGATTAGTCAGCTCTCTTGAACCATTGTTGGAAGCTCGGGGTTGCACGATCAGGAAGGGTCGACACACAAGCGAAGTAAGAGGTGAGTAGAGTCGGAGTTGGGCGACCCGACGGGCTGGTGCCGAACGCGCGGGATTGACGTGGGCCACGACGGACTGTGGGCATGGGCGARTCCGACRGGTGCGGGAGGACTAAGCGGGGTGACAACTTCGTGGGTTGGTGCGTGACGACGGACTGTCCGCATCGGAGAGAGAGAGAGAGGAGATGAGAGTTGAGGTTGATGGACGTGGATTTGCTGTTTCTTTGTCTCTTCTCCATCTTCATCTTTGTACATACATTTTGATTGCGGCTTCGGGCGGTTTGCCCGTTCTTATCTTCGTTTCGGCTTTTTGGAATCTGGACTTGGGTTTTTGCTCACACCTGTCCTTGCGATTGCATTATGTGTATGATTGTCGAATGTATGGATGCATGAATGTTATGCCTGCTTGCCTATCTCTTTTGCGGGGAATCCCTGCCCTTGCCTTTTGTTTGTGCCGAATCTCTACTTGCACCGGATGCAGCGATAGATGGGATAAGAATTTGGCCCCGATGTCGATTTCGTTCTCGTTTTTGCTTGTCCCATGATGAGGTTGTGGTATGATTGCATCTTGCATAACCGAGACTTACGAAGCAATTAGGCGATCCGAAGTCCGGCCCCGCGAGCGCCGCACGAGAACACGTATAAACGCGATCCGAGTCGCGCCCTTACACGCATTCCCGTGCATCGACTCGCTCACCCCGAAAGGAATCACGGCGGAACCATCATCCCGTACGAGCACGCTGAGGCGCCACTAAGTCGGTCTGTCCTACACATGCTCGTGCACGGTGACGATATCCCGACCCGCGCTATCCCATYGACAATGATGCCATGACGCGATCTTGGGGCTCAGACTCGTCCTATGACCCGGACTATTTCACCCCTATAATAAACGAGCTCATAAGGACCCGATACCCTTGTCACACGGAGAATCGGCTATGTCCGCGGGAATTCCACTGTGCCACCACTAGCGACCCTCGGTGCTCCGATTTCCCTTCCCCCGACCACACCTACTACTTCACCCACCCGGGATTCGTTGAGATTACCACCAGTTTCCCTCCCTTCCGCCTCCTTCTCCTGTATCATCAACTCAGTGTCGTTCCGTGGCCGGCCATAGCCCCCTATTGGCCCAACACGTTTTGCGTAAACTGCCGACGCAGCGGCGCACAAAGAACCCCGGAATTCCGAAGGCCCAACCCAGCTATGCGGTGGCCTGCGCCACGTGGCGGCCCCCGACGACCTAACTTTTAAGGACCATCTCCACCACCGAGGAATTTTCCCGTAACCCGTCGCCCGCAGTGTCCCGGCCCCTTCGGACTGTGAGGCCCTTGCGCGTGTACCCCTCGTTCGCCTAATTGCGTTCATACCCCTAAGGCTCCCCCACTTCGCCAAAAATCCTTGGCACACCCCTTTTCGCACTTCCAGGCCCACATCCCACTCCGATCAGGAAGTCGTGCTGGGCATGAGGTTGGTATCGGAGCCCGACACGTGGCTAGGGTCTTAGGACTGATAGCACGTTAATTAGGCGACCTGGCTAACCGTGGGCGGCCTCGCCCCCGGAACGCGCATAGACGCAACCCTATCGTTACCCGAAGCAGATCGGCTAACCGACGAGCAGCCAACATGGATACCAATGTGCAGAACCCGGCTCAGCAACAAAATGCTAACCCAAACCAACCCGCCCCACGTGCATGAGCTCCCATGACACCACCTGATCTCTATTTGTTTGATCCCGCACACCACCTCGCAGGAGCATGGCTGGCCACACTTAGAGCCCAACAGTACACTGACAACGAAGCACAGATCAACATTCCGGCTCGAATGGGTGGAGACGCCCATCATTGGTTTAGTACCTATGTATGGGTGGATCTCCCGACCTTCGAACGGGACTTTATGAACCGATTCGATTATGTCCACCCTGAGCAAGCGCTGTACATGATCAAGGATCCTGTGCAAAAACCGCTCGAATCCGTTGCGGAATATTGAAACCGATATCGAAACCGGTTCTACAGAATGTTCGTAAAAACTGAGCGAGGTGAGCAAGTCGAAAGAGATTTGTTCATTGATGGACTCCGGAGTCGAACGATAAGGGCAAAGTTGCGAAAGCAATTTTCCCCCATCACTCTTACGCTACAATAAATTATGGTTGCTGCGGAAGAAATGGAACGGAAGTTCGCGGCGAACTTCCTGGAAGGAGAAGATTACCCTAGAGACGGAGATTCGACCGAGCTCGCTCGAGCCAGAGCAGAGCTGGCTGCTTTACAGAAGAAATTTGAAAACATGGGGTTCGTATCAGGACCTGTCACCTATATGGAACAGATAGGCCCCAAACGAGTAATCCTAAGTGAGACTTCGAGCATCTCTGCTCCTATGTTGCCCCCACCCGTCAGGGCATTACCCCCGCCACCGGTTGAGGCGCCTGTACGATCAAACGAATCGGCGGCCATTTTCGAACTAACCAAAACCTTGATTAGCTTGATCCAGGAAAGCAAAACGGAGCAGCGAGAGCACAATGCTCGACTAGAAGCCATGATGAGGAACATGCGACCCATTGCCGTGCGTGCCCCTCCGATGCAGCAAGGATTAGCCCCGGCCCCTGCGCTCGGAGGAGTCGCAAACAATCTGAATGTCTGTTACGCCTGTCATCAACCAGGCCATCTAGCCCGTGATTGCCCCCACCAACCCCCGCAACAGCGAATTGGAGTCGCGCCTATGGCTGCGGCCCCCATCGCCAACGGATCTGGACGAGTCGGAGCCCTGATGGAAGAAGTAGAAAGTGGGGGAAGTGCCCTGACCACCACGGAAGAGGCCGCCGAACTGATCCCGCTAGATCAATATGTGTCGCTGGGATATCCTGGGCTTGGAATGATCGGAACGATCAGACCAGCGCCAGAACCAAAAGAGGTGGCGGAGTGGCGACCGTCCCTAGGAGAAATGGAGTCGGGAGGACCCACCTTCGTCACAAGGGAGATCGATGTATTAAACATCATCCGAGCTTTGGACCATCGGATTCTCCTTCCGATTGGTCATCTGCTCTCGATCTCCGAGCAAGCCAACAAGCGAATGTTACAGAATTGCAAAGCGAACCGAAAGCGATTCGCCCTTGCCCAAACCCCGAACGCGAAAGCCAAAAGCCCCGCGCCCGAAGAAAACCCCGCAAGTACTTCGGATCCGATACGGGTAGGTTTAATCCAGAAAGATGATCATTTCCTACGGATTAAACCAATTCCGTGGAAATCTGCCGAGTGTGATATAGAAATTTGGGGAATTCCTTACAATGCTATTATAGATTCGGGAGCGGCTGTGTTGGCTATCTCACTGAGGGTGGTCGAAAGGGCAGGTAGGAAAAACAACTTGATCACGCTTTCTGAGAAAGATCAGCTCGTTTCGGCTGACGAAGAAAGAATTAAAACCCTGGGAAGAATGATCAATGTCGCTTTCCGATTGGGTAAAGTGCATGCACTTGGGGATGTCGTAGTACTAGATGTCAATACGTACGGCGTTCTCTTCGGACTTCCCGCTCTTGTGGCGTTACGAGCAAACCTGGATTTCGAACGACGATCGATAGTCCTTCGAAATACAGGAGGAAAGCCCTACGTTGTGCCCATGCGATTGACCCTTCGCACTACTATTAACGCGGTTCCCCGGGTTTCGCCGATGATGGCATGGACTCTCCGCATGATCTCCTGGGAGAAATCCGTAGAAAGAGAGTCGTCAACAGAAGATGCGGAAAGCAGTGACGAGGATGATCCGGAGATCTTGAAATTAGCACGACAACGTGTTTGTTACCCGCCACCCAAAACGATAGCGGGAACGATGCAATTAACCAGCCGAAAAATTTGAAGGACCAAGACGATGATCTTGGGTGAGCCCCTTGTGCAAATTTCGAGGATTGTCGATTCTTTGGAACCCCCTCAAACTTTGTACGAAGGAATCACCCCTCTCCTCGCCCGGTACAACGACAAGAAGCATTACTGTGACATTACGGATCTACCCAAGTCCTTACTAACCTCAACCAAAGAAGTGAGATTGTTACGCTTGGGGGCGGAAGCAAGCTCTCTGGAACCCCCTGGGCATTTTGAAGCAGAAACAGACGGACTGGGGATAAAGATCGCAACTAAGGAAGTGCCATGGCAGGATGTTTGTGACAGGATTACCCTGGAAGGACACGTGGCAATCCGAGAAGAAGATGCTCAGATGATGGCCACGGTGTTCTCCTGGCGATCAGATCATTCCTTCATCTCGGCGCCTCCACCCGATTTGGAAAAACAGGCGAACACGAAACAGATTGACGTTCGGATCTGGGACCAACTTTTTGAACTACACGTCCCACAATATGTGCCAGATGAAATCCACCGGGTAATTGAAGGTATTCTTACAGAATATCAAGGAACAATTAGTGTATCAGACACTGACATTGGGCTGTCATTAGTAATCCAACACGAAATTCAGACAGGAAATCATTCCCCGATTCATTGCAAACCTTGTCGATATTCCTTGATTGAACGCAAAAAGGCTCTCGAACGAATTCGGGAGTTCGAAGCCAGCGGTTGGATTGAACCCGCTACTGGACCCTGGCCCTTTCTTGTAGTGTTCGCACCGAAGAAGAACGGAGTGATTCGCATTTGCATTGATTATCGCAAGCTGAATGAAATCACGATCAAAGATGTGTATCCCCTCCCCCAGATTAATGATCTGTTGGATGCGATCGGATGCGCTAAATATTTCAGTAAGTTTGATATTCGACATGGCTTCCATCATACTCTGGTAAGGGAAGAAGATCGGCCGAAGACAACTTTTGTGTTGTTTGAAGGCACGTGGCAGTGGGTTCGGTGTCCGATGGGGATTTGCAATGCGCCTGCCACGTTCCAGCGAGCGATGAACATGACGTTCCATAACTTCGTCAGCAAGACACGACTTACGCAAGGAATGATTAACTTCTGTGTGATCGTGTACATGGACGACATCTTGGTCTATTCGGAAACCTATCACGGGCACGCGCAACACATCGAATGGACATTGGGTGCACTGAGAGACGCTGGGTTCAAGATTGCGCTTGAGAAGAGCGAATTTTTCCTCTCAGAAATTTCGTTCTTGGGCTATGTCGTGACACGTGGAGGATTGCGGCCAGACTCGAGAAAAGTTGCGGCGGTGAAGGAAGTTCCGGTTCCCACGTCACTGACGCAGGTTTGAGCCTTCTTGGGACTGGCGTCATACTACCGACGCTTCATCAAGGGCTTTGCCGCGATTGCACGGCCATTAACGAATCTGTTACGGAAGGACCAGCCTCTCAGCTGGGACGCGGAGTGCCATCAGGCCTTTGCAACCCTCAAGGACACTCTAGCGACGGCCCCTATTTTGATTCAACCGGACCCCTCGAAGCAGTTCATTCCCATCACGGACTGGCAATCGGAAGCTATTTCCGCTATTCTAGCGCAGAAGGGGAACGATGGTCGCAAACACGTCATCGAGTACGCATCACGAACCGTGCCGGACGAATGAAGGAACGACTCAGCACCTCAAGGCGAATGTTATGCAGTGGTCTGGGGAATCCAGCACTTCCATCCGTATCTCTACGGACAGAAGTTTCGCCTCGTGACGGATCACGAGCCTCTGCTAGCTTTGAAGAAGTTCACCAACTACACGGGCATGATTGGCCGTTGGGCGGTGCGACTGCAAGAATACGACTTCGATATCGTCCATCGAAAGACGGAGCGACACGGCAACGCGGACGGGCTGACACGCCTGCATCGACCTGCCAAGGTACCAAAGGGCGAGTAAATTACACCGTGGAAGGAGCCGGACCTGACCAACGAGCCTAAGTATGGACAAGTGGCAGTCCTCCCGAGTGGCAAGAAGCAAAGCGGTGGTGATGGGTGACGGAGGTAACCCCACGACCCCTCTCTCCCCCCCTTCCTCTTCGTCTCTCCTCTCCCTGCCTGACAAATTTTGCTATTTTTGCGAAGCTATCTCCCGCGTATACTCGGTCTCCACGTGTCCTAACGGAGAAGGGTATGTCGATTGGATAGACTGTTGACAGTGCATCGCACGAGCCCATGGCTCGTGCATCCAATACAGAAACGATAGTAAACCGTGGTTGTGCCCCTTGTGTCGGACCGACAAGATTTCGACCGAGGCTCGCTTTTTGGACGCCACGTCAGAAGGGTTGGAAAAGACCCGGAAGTTTAGAAGGGCCGAAGTATGGACTGATATCGCCTTGATTGCCACCTTGGTTGGCAACCCCCTCCAGGATTTCACTAAGGAAGACCGGAGGAGGGCCAACGAAAGCTCGGGATTACAGGTGGATAGAGGGGAGATTAGAAAAACGGAAAACGAATGGCAGTGGGATTTGGATGGTAGTACCGCATCCGTTCATGCGGTATGACTGGGTTAAGACAGCCCACGAGGAAACTGCGGCTCATTTTGCTGTACGAATCACGGAGTCCGCTATCGACAAAAATGAGTGGTACTGGTCCAATATCCGCGACGATGTGAAGTACATCGTCGCCAACTGTCAAGTCTGCGTCGCCGATAAAGCGCTGATTTAGCCACCAAGGTCGATAGTGCCCACGGTTGTTGAACGGCCGTTTCAAAGAGTAAGCATGGATACTACCGACATAATGGTGCCCCCTGGCCCTAATAGTTGCGAGTATTCGGTCCTGTTGGTATTTGTCGACCATTTCTCGAAATGGATCGAGGCGTATCCTTGTCGCACGCGACAAGCCACGGAGATCGCGCGATATTTCAACCGTTTCCTTGGGATGCATCAGGATACCGAAGAGATCTTGACCGACAACGGGGATGAATTCAGGGGAGAGGTATTAAGAAATCTGTTCCTACATGGCGTCGCCATACGGAACACTGCGCCCCACATGTCACAATCTAACGGACTGGTCGAAAACGCTAACCGGGTGATAAAGACAACCTTGCGACGGAACATCGCGGCAAGGGATCCGAGACCCTCGCCCGATATCGTCGATCACATCTTGGCGGTCCATCGCGGAACGCGCCACGAATCAACGGGGCTGAGCCCCTTCCAATTAAGGACCAATAGTGTCGCTTGCGTTTCGATACCAAGCCTCCAGGATGAGTCTACGTTGAATCGACGGCCCACTAGGGCTACGGCTCGGGATAAGGCCAAACGACACCTAGAGTTAATGGAAAGGTCGCTGCCTAGGCTAGCCCGAAAGCGACAGAAAATGACCGAACTAGCCCAGGGCCGACAAGTCCGGAGCTACGAGGCCCGAAATGGGAATGCGGGTCCGCTGCCCCAGTACAAATTGGGGGACGTAGTGCAGGTGAGGAAATGTGCTTGCCAGGGTAAGCTAGCGCCACGATTCTTCGGGCGATATCGCGTGATCGAGCTCGGCCCCAACGGCGTGGACACCGTGCGTCTCGCCCCAGAAGTCTCCGGCAGTCGGTCGGATCGTCCGATTACACGCCACGTGTCCTATCTTCGCCTCCTCCCCTCGGCACTGTCTCCTTCTCCCTCGATCTCTCCCTCTGAGGAAGTCGAAAACGACGACTCTAGCTCTCCGCCATCTCCCTATTCCTCTTGCTTCCCATTTGCCTTCTCGTCACCTCCGCCATCGCCATGAGTTTTCTGGAGGAAAGAGCCCTTAGCGCAGCATCGCTTGCTCCTCGCGATCGATTGACGATCTGGCAAGTCCATCATCCCCGCCTCAGTCCAGATCTTCGGAGGCTTGTGCACTTCTTCTGCACGGAAGGCGTGTATGCAGCGGCGGTATTCAGAATCGAAGGCCGGCCTGACGCGGTGGCACTAGCCGAGGCGGTGGCAGTTCATCAGCGAGCGGTGCCAGGTGTCAGTCGCCTATTGGTCGTCATCAACTTCAGTGGCGATCTCTCCACACTCCTTCCTTTACGACGTTCGGCGGTGAAGGCGTCGCTGCGCGCGTGGGCGAACGACCTGGTCGCCGAGTGGACCAAGCTTCTGGCCCGTCCCGGAGATACAGTCGCAACGACACGAGCAATCGAGTACGACGGTCTTCGGATGTATCAGCGCGAGCCGCCAGCAGACATCCCTACCCTCGTTCCCTTCCCACGTCCCCAATGAGTCTCTCTCCGATCTCCGTTTTTTATCTCCCCTCCACCTTCCCCACCTTCTGGCAGTCCGATATCCATCCTCGCCTTTCCTACTGTCTAAAGCCCCTCGCTGTCCCTGATATCCATTTTCCCTATTGGGTCCTGTGGCGCGAAGACTTCATCAAACTTTCACTGTGTCTGGTGGAAGTACGACTGACGTGGATCGAGGGCGAAGCGCACCCGCCTTGCATAGAGCGCCTGGAGTTGCTGTTCATCCAAGCCTGGAGAACCAATGTGGAGGGAGAGCTTCTCGCGTTTCTATTTGGTACGGTGCGGTCCGGTCATCAAGATCTCATCACGAAAGAGCTCACAATCCCGATAGCACAGTTGGCGGACGATCTCCCTCTTGACATCATCTTGCAAGACGACGAGCATCCAGTTCCCCACGTACTTTCTCGCACATTGACACCTTATCTTCAGTGGTCGGCTTGCGTAGAAGGAGCTGCAGAGCGCATCCCGCCGTCGCAGCAACAATACCTGGATCCCCGGACGGCTCGCGATCCTGCCTTCTTAAGGCGTCCTACGGTGGAGCAGCTTGCGGCCATCCGAGAAGAAGAGGAGGAGGAAGAGAGTACCTGGAGTGACGAAAGACGACGACGGATTGGACGAAGGCGGGAACAGCGACGAAGAGCTCGGCAAAGAGGACGAGACCCGCGAAGAAGGAAGCTATAGCGAGCATAGCGAAGGGGAACAGAGCGAAGAAGAAGAAGAAAGCGAGGAAGGAGAAGAGGAACACGACGAAGAGCCTGCTGGATCGGAGTGGGAAGCCGTGTCAGACGAAGCGCTGCGTACGGGTACGGAGGCTGAGGATCCAGACGCGGCCCGCAAAAAAAAAGAGATTGCGGCCGGGAAGGAGTTAGAGCTCGCAAGCGCAGCGAGTCTGCAGATTCCCGACGATCCGAACCGAGATCCGGAGCCGCCCCGGCCTGAAGATGACGACCTCGCGGCCACGACTCCGACCCCATCAGCGCGGCGACGGAGCCGATCCCCCTCCTCCTCAACCCGTCCCCCAGTTCGCCGACGTACCGATTCGGGCAATCGGTCTTCGTCCCCGATCACTCTCTCGTCGTCCCCTTGACTACCTCACCCTCCGCCAGCTCACCACCCCCATCACGTTCCCCTCCAATCCGTTTCCTCGCGACACCTTCCGCCACTTCTACGCTGCTCGCCTCGCTATAGTGGTGCACCCCCACCCCTCCATTCGATGCGCCGTCCCAGCCTTTTGCCTCCATGTCCTGCTCCTTAGTGCCGCGTGGCGAGGCCACAACATGATCGAAGTTTACTGCGTGGTAACAGGGACCATCCCCGCATGCAATGATCGCGATCGTTTCCGCGCGGCACTCTTCCGGACTCTCACTACCCTCTATCCCGATTATCTCGCATCCCTCCCTCGCACTGGCAATCGCTTCCCCCGCTTTCACCGCATTGTTCGTTACCAAGAGCTCCCGGAGACTGCAGCCGGAGTGGAAAGTCTCCTGCCCCCATTACTCATAAACCATCCACTCCGCCATGCCGCCATGCACCGACTCCCTTTTCCCCTCCCGGTTAATTGCTGATGCAGCAGGGAATGGATGCGTGTCGTGGCGACGGCACGAGAAAGATCCCGTCCTTGAATCGTCGAG